TTCTCCTTATGTGTGAAGTTCATGGGTCCAGGTTCAAGGAGTTTCCGACCGATCGTGGCGGGGACAGTGCTTCCTCTCCTGAATACTCTGGATGTGCCCCGACAGGAGGAGTTGCTTTTAACTTGTCAAAGTCGATATATCACTTTTGTTACCGGCTCAATTCAAGTGCACCGCTTACCAAGATGAAACACATGGACAGCACTAACATGAGGTTGACAAATTACTCATTTTACGTAATGAGATTTTGCACTATTAAGACATAAATACAATGGATATTCGAATAATCATCAATCAGTTGTACAAGTTTTCAGCTTTCCAAATAAAAAAAATAAAAATGAAAAAACTTTTTGGAGCCTGTTAAGATTTCCACCTGGTTGAGAACAGAAAACCACAGTTCCTAGGATAACAATTTTCCCTTTGACTCAAAGTTAAAGATATTCATGAGGACACATGAATCAACTTATTTTGGTTGCCTAAACTCTCTGCCAGATTCCTTTGCCCAGTTTCCTGTATCATACAAAGTCCTCGGTCCTTAGCCACACCACATCCAAAGAAATATTGCCATGTTAACCTCATCCAGTCACACACATTGCCAGATAATGTCTAATAGGTGTCAAATATCCTGCCTTTTGCAAGGGAAGAGAATATGGGGAAGAGAGAATTTGCAGAAAATGGCTGATAAGACTGTTTTTTTTAATGTTTTACTCCTTTATTCGTATGTTTTTTTTATTTATTCATTGAGAAACCATTATCTTTAAGGAAAATCCTTTTATCCTTTTTGTGGGGGTTTTCAGTTCTCTAAGGAAAATATATAGCCACTCTTCTGTTTCCCCTTTACTCTCTTCTCTTTACCATTATGAAAAAATTAATGCATCTTGAAAGCCAGAAGCCCATTAGTAGATGTTTTAGGGGTGATAATGCCTTGTGATTTACTGTAATGGATTGCTGCAGGGATGATATGTTTTAGTTGGCCAACCAGGAAGTTAGCATTGTTCTGGTTCCATCCACAAACAGACAATTTTGCCAGATTTTGGATTATTGCAGAAATTAAGCTCTGTGGCAATCAAACGTTAATGATACTTATACATTTTGTTCAACAACATAATCTTCATAGATGAAGACCTTTTTATCATTTTCTTTATCGTAAATGCAATCGGCAGAAGTAAAAAGCTAACGTTAGGCTATAAACAAACTACACCACGGTCGCATGACTTCAACGTCACCAACACTAAACTAAAGGCGAACTAGTGTTCAACATGATGACATATTGTAGTCCCATTAAGCCACAAACCGCCTTTTTTAGAACACATAAAGGCTTTACAATTCGTGAGGTTATTTACTGATGTATTTTATATCGGATTATTTCAGGCATTTAACCAAAAACCCATTGAATTTGAGAAGAGGGAACAGAAAGTGCAAAAATGCTAACTCATTTATCAAAAAAATGTATGTAGGTATATATAAAAAGAGAGCATGTTAGTTTATTAAAAGAGAGGTGTAGAACTATTATTGCTTGTATGCGTTGCTTTCATTTCATTTTTACTTTCATCTTTTTTTAGAAAGGTGTAACAACCAGTTAATCAGTGAGTGAGACACATTAATTCTGTTGGGAAACAGAAAGGTCAATCTACTTGCTCCCCAGAACCATTAGCACTGTTATTTCTGAGGACAAACTGAAAATGGCATTTTTCCAAAGACTGCAAGTGAAATATTACACACAGATAACACCTGAAAATAAAAGGCACAAAGTAATTTAAAGGAAGTGGAGAGCTAGTGCACTGCAGTTGGTCTGCTGCTGAAAAACGGAACATCTCTACGTATAATATATTTGTCTATAAGACATTCAGTATTGTCCATTTTAAATGCTTTGTGTGAACTTTGCCATGCTGTAAGGCTTCAGGTAAAGATTACATCTTGTACGACCCACAAGCATGCTGAAGCAGCATACTGTGTGCATGTGTGATGGAAATATTGGGGGCTGGGGAGGTCATGGTTCGGTGACGAAGCATCCTTGTAAAATGTTAATTTAACTGCAAAATGTATAAGAGGACAGGTTTAAACTGACACTTACATGACAGGGGGAATATCATGAGAGTGTTGGCTGCACAAGACATCTAGGAAATTGATTTGTTTCTGTGAATAATCAGCAGCCCAGGCACCGCAATTATCTCTGAGCAGAGAATGTCGGTCAGGTGAACGTGAGTTTTAACAGGAATGAATATTTCTGATTCTGGCTGGTTGGAAAAAGGGGATTAAGGTACAGTATTGGATCCCTAAGTATGGATATTGCTATTTGAGGATTAAAAGACTGTAGGAAGAATTGTATGTTGAATTAAATTTGACGAGATTAGCAACAAAAACTGCAAGGATCAGCATATCTTGAGCCAGCTAAACAGAAGACCGGGAATGATTTGAAGTGTGAGGAGAGGCAGTAGGTTCCCATATCTCTTAATTATTGATCAGTGAGAGGTTTCAGTCAGTGAATGTTGCAGAAAGACCCTTCATGTGTGCACCATGCATGAGATACACTATCTAGTATGGACCAGTGTGTTTGAATGTTTTAAGAAGCTCCAATCTCATGTACAGATTAGTTAGAGGCCTTGTTGGCAAGAATAGTATTTTTGTCACCCAATGTAAAACCGTGTGAAACATCACAATAACAGACAAAGGTGTTTTCTCTGTTCCTTGTTTTGTTGAACAAGTGCCCGAGGCTTCAACTCTGCCAGTCTGTTGAGCATATGGTGTTTATTTCACCAGTATAACAAATCAGTTTGGTCTCAATTCAAAATATGCTTAATTCTGGCAGATCGGCCCGATACGAAGGGAGGAAATCAACCCTAAAACTCGTTTGGTTGTGTTTAATAAGCTGCGCATATAACACACTACATATGTGAAAATAACAAGGCAGACATACATAACAGATTTTGAATAGAAGGGAACTAAAATTGAGGACTGAATCTGAGAAGAAGAAGCCGAAGCATTTTTCACAGAGGACATTTTGACATGTCACATCAACCTCCTCCGTTCTCATTCCCAGGGCATCAAATAAAGACGCTTTGAAATGCCCCATGGCATCTGATAACAGCGCACAAGGCACCATTCAGTGTCTGTATGAGATGTTCTGGGTTTTTAAGTAACTACAATGTAAACCCATTGGTGTCAGTATTTGATGCTCAGTTAAAAATGCTCCGGTGACGTTTGCTTATATTACATTGTCTATGTTTTACTTTACTTAGTTATATTAAGCCCAAGCATGATGTTTTTCCTAACCTTACTAAGTGATTTTGTTGCCTAAATTGAATTTGGAAAACAACAACAATAGATAGTGATGTCAAGTAAAACCAAGGTGATAAACACAACGAGAACCGTGACATCATGAGAGAAAACGGGTACAGAAATCTGCTGCTTACATTTTCATAAGGTGCTATATAATGATGGAGGTGGTAATAAACTGCTTCATATCAAAGGCAGAAGTAATGAGATGGTCAAAGATCCCTGCAGGTCATCTGAAGAGATTTCAGCAATAAATTAAGTAAAAGCATGTTTATTTGTGTTGTGTGTGTGTGTGTGTGTGTGTGTGTGTGTGTGTGTGTGTGTGTGTAGCCCCTTAATAGCAGTGTTTACCTGCGCCCTCTGTGAAATTAGTCCTTCAGCCTCTCTAAATAAATAAAGTGATTACGTTCACAAACAAAGCATCAATTACAACTAACAAATAAATCCAAATCCTGAGTGAGTAGCAACAAATTTGAGTTCCACACATGACATAAATCCACTTATTAACTTAGTATTCATCATCATAATCACAATCAGCCTCAACAGTTCCAAACAAAAGGCCTTCTAAAGTCAGGTCATGAGCAAGGATGAAATATAATCCCTTCTGAGCCAATAGCTGCTTGGAATATATGATTAATAATTATTTAAGTAACAGCTAACAATAACTTACTAATGATTCAAAAAAGGATTGTTACCATTTTCATACACGGATAAATAAACCCAAGGATGAATAGGAATGTAAATGTTCTGTTAGGGGATGTAGAATTGTTGTTGTGAGGCAGAGCACAGTCAGCGTGCATGAACCTCTAGTGCCATCTAGTGATTAATCCATGTAGGCTTCTTTTAGGAGTCAGTGAGCACAAACCAAATGTTGTTTTTGTAAAATAACATACTTATTGTTCCTCACAGCTCTTCTGCAGACTTTACTTTTAAATCTTATTTCACCAGGATAATCAGTCAGTATCGATAATTTGCAGGGAGTCATGCGAACATAACAAATAACACAACTAGAAAATGCATTTCCTGCAGAAAATGGGTTGGAATGCTGAAAGCTGTAATGAATCACCAAAAAATGGCTGAAAACACAGAAATGGGAGACTACCTGTCTGAAAAATGTTGAAGGCTAAAAGCATTAAACTGCACTGCTGAAAATGTAAATCAAAAACATTTTTTGATTCAAAATGTAATTGAATCAACTAAAAAAATTATAAAAATGAAATTAAATCAACTGAATCGAAAGAAAATGAATTGAATCGACTTTAAAAAAAATTAAATTAGTTAAAAAAGTTAAATTGAATCAACTAAAAAATTGTAAAAAAAAATTACACAAATTTCGAAATCATAATTGAATCAGACAAACAAAACAGATTTAAAAATGAAAAAATAAACACTCCTCGCACTTTGGCAGCAGCAGCTTCTTGAGTAGTAATTTGTCGAGTTCGCAAACGTTGTGTTCCAGTGTTTAATATTTCACCAACGAAATGTTTTCTAGTTTATTGCTGTTAGATATCAGATGACGTTACTAATTCTTTTTTGAGGCTTTACAAGACCGCCTCAAATTACTGCCATAAAGTTGCCCTTAGCTACTATGTTTAAAATAAAACTATTTTTTCAGACATAACCTGACACCTAAACATGTGTACCACACACCCACACACACACACACATATGGACAGGGGACCGTCTAATTTCTACAGTCACGCCTCGCTCGTGCTACGTCACTGGCGTGCGTCAGGAGGAGTGTAAACACTCCTCGCGCTTCAGCAGCAGCAGCTTCTTCAGTAGTAATTTGTCGAGTTCGCAAACGTTGTGTTCCAGCGTTTAATATTTCACCAGCGAAATGTTTTCTAGTTTATTGCTGTTAGATATCAGATGATGTTATAAATTCTTTTTTGGGGGCTTTACAAGACCGCCTCAAATTACTGCCATAAAGTTGCTCTTAGCTAGTTCCAGCTAGCTAACGTTAGCTCTCAGACTTGTACAGTCTGCTTCCTTTTGCAACCGAGTAAGACGCAGCATTGTTTCGGCTGCCCTATTTTTTTATGCTAAAAGCTCACGGTTCTCTGTGATGAAATGGTGCTTTCCTTGGTCAGCCTTTGCGCCAGGGAGGTGGTGAGGGACCACAGCTCGTCACCGTACTGGCTAAGGTGGGTGCCCAGGGAGCTGTACAGACCGCTGCTGGAGGCCTCTTTCACCGGCTGCAGACCGCTGGCTGTGGGTGAGCTGGTGCAGAGGTGGCCTGAACGCACATTGCGTGTCGGCAGAAGCAGGAAACAAGGCCAAATGGGGCCAAATCGACTCTGCGTCCAGGCCCTGTTACTTGCAGTTGTCCGAGGAATGTCAGACCAAAGGTAAGATAAATTATTATTCCAGCTACAGTGTTTTTGGATCATGATCTTTGATCTGTGAGAGGCATTTAAGACCCATCCCTCTGTCCTAGGTGTGCCCTGCAAGTACTGGATCTCTGTGGACTGCAAGGAGATGAAGGAGGGATGGGAGACCCCATGGGAGGCTGGTCTCTGACTGTAGCGCTCTGCACCATGGTCGTTCAGTCCAGAGCTCGAGCACAGAGGGCTCAGCGGGAGAGGAAAAGGTTATCAGCTCTGGAGAGGGAAAAAGACGTGAAGAGAGAGAGGGGACAGTGGAAGAGGGGAAGGGAAACAAACGGCGATGGGGCAGGCCCAGATAATGAGGAGCCGGAGGGAAACGGTAGAGAGAAGATGGGCTCATGTGGGACTCTGGGTGAAGAGGAGCTGATTACAGGTGTGAGGAGGAGGATGGAGGTAGAGAGGAGAAGAGAGACTGCAGTTCCAGGGTCAGGAGGCGGTAGAAAGGAGACCGAAGATGTAAACAGTGATGTGTTGGTGCATGTGAGAGCTGATCTTTTTGTAAACGCTCGCTCTTGGGAGCGTGTTCGCGGGGCTCTAAGCGCATCGGGGCCCCTTAAGCTTCAGTGCAGATACCTACGCGTGGAAGAGATTTCAGTGTCCAGCATCAGGACCATGCTAGGCCTCCTGCCTCGCCAGGGTCTCCTGGGCATCGATGTCCGCTACAGTAGCCTCGGGGTGGCCGGCTTGGCTGAGCTGCTGCCTCTGCTCTCCACCTTCCCCGCCCTGAACTCTCTCCGCCTGCACTACTGTAACTTGGATTTTCGCAGAGACCAACCCGGCCAAGAAGAGGCCCTGGGGGACTTGTCTCAGGGTCTGACCCGGCTACAAGAACTGCGGTGCCTCAGCCTCACTGCGCTGCGCTTGCCTGGGCAACTCCGTGTGCTGCTTAGGTATGGCCTGATCCCCCAGTATGCACGCCGTCCTGTAACTTTGTACCTACACGCTGTGCCTAGTAAATCCCATTGTCGCACACACAAATTTGTTTTAGATTTGTCCAACCTTAGAGTAGGTTACGGAAAGGAAATGTACCAATCTCTAATGGACAATTCTACTATTTGGTGTATAATTTATTGGAAATGGCAATAAATAGCTGTCTCTAATCCTGCAAATTTAAGCTTTGCAGGTTTTATTTTATAGTATGTTTAATATTTAAGATTGTTGTGCAATAAAACAAGAAATTTGAAGACACTACCTTTCAATTTTAGAACATTTTGATGGGAATTTCCTTCAAACTTTATAGCCAGTATTCATTTATTTTTAAAGGATTGAGCAGTTGATCGAGAGACGAATCATCGGATTGATGCATCATGAAAATAATAAGTTGCAGCCCTCATCAAATCTAAATTGCCTTTTTTTTTTTTTTATTGGAGACCTATTTTAATTTCTAGTTTAAAGCAAATCTGCCCAAAGTAACAGTCATAGTTAGAATGATGAGATTACAAACAGAAAACTAACAATTAGGCCTCTAAATTGAATATTTGAATTGAATGATGAATATTATTTAAATGTTCTTTCTCTACAGCTCACTGCCTCGGCCTCTGGAGATACTGGAGCTGCCATATTTGAGCCTGAGCCCAGCTGACCTCGCCTATCTGTCCTGCAGCCACCATGCTTCCACACTGCAGCAGCTGGATCTGAGTGAGAACCGTCTGGACGAAAACACCCTGACATCTATCCGCCGCCTCCTCTCCCAGGCTTCCGGAGGCCTGCAGCACCTCTCTCTGAGTGGCTGTGGCCTCACCGACGGCCTGCTGGGACTCTTGCTGCCCTCGCTGGGAGGCTGCAGGGCCCTCAAGAGCTTGGCGTTGGCACTGAACCCTCTCTCCATCGCCGGCCTCATGGACCTGGTGAGGATGGCCGTGAGAATGCCCTCTCTCCGTCAGTTGCTGTACCCCAACCCCCTGGAGGACTACCAGCCGGGCCTTCCTGACCTGCCCTCCAGTGCGCAGCTCTTAGACTGGCCGCTGGATGAAGCCACAGACATCAACATTACCAGCAGCCAGCTCAACAGGGTGCGCATAGAGAGCGGGCGGTCCGACCTCTTTCTGACATGCGACCTGCTCAATTATGATAAAGACTTGGTGGACTAGAGCAGAGGTGAAAGGAACCATCACAGACCAGCGCAATGTACATACACCTCACAATCGAATGTGTCCTCCTCTAGGGTTTCGAGAACGGGCCATTTTTTATATTTGTTTACAAGACAAAAGGACAAAATCCTTCGTCGAGACAGTAATATGCTTCAATGAAATGATGCTAAACTACTTTAATGAGTTAATTTGTTGACTGTATAAGTTATTTTGTACCCAAAATTGCTTTATATTCACGTCAACAGGATAGTTACAACTGTCACTAGTACTTTATTCATACAAGGCATTCATTCATATTCACCAATTATTTGAGTGACGTACTCTCTCGTTGTGCTTTTCTAATTTGCATTTTTGTCATACTGTATTTCTTGTATACCTGTTGTAAACATGTCCAGGATTATGCTTGTAAATCACCAATTATCAGGAAATAATGTATCAAATTACCATTGTACCACATGATGCATTTACATACTGCCAGTCACAGAATAAATCCGTCATAAAGCAAAGTTTTACGAGTTATTTAATGGTGCAATATATTTAACATAATACAAACTAACATGTTATATGGCTCATCAGGTGTTACTAGGTGTGTTGCAGACTAAGAGGCATCATCTGTAGTACTCTGTACGGCTGCTGTTGAATGAAGTACAGCGAGGTGAGGCCTTCACCAATGCTCCTCTGAGTACATGTGAAAGGGACAAAGAGTGACCCGAGGTAACGGCAAGGAGAGGAAATTAGGAAAGTGCATGAGGATGGACCGGTTTCTCAGAGGAGGCAGAATAATACCTGCATGACAAAAACTCATTAAATGTTATAAACCAGTTAATTTCTAGGATCAGATGTCTTTGCTAAAGTTTTGCTACAGGTTAATAGCAGACCACCTCAAGATGTCACTCAGAGAGAACCAGGACATTCTGATGTAGCATTTCAAAATTAAAGCCCTTCAAAATCTCATTCATGAGCTAACTTCAAATAAATAAATGATTCATTATTTCATCACTTACCAGTGGCCTAATCTATGTATCCACTCTCCAAATTGGGGACTTCATTTTTTATTTATTTTTTTTCAGATGAAGTAAATTTTTTTCTTTGCTCATCAAAAGTTGTTTGTTGAAATCTTGAAGATATGTTTTTCACAGAACAAAGACCTTCATGTTGGGAAATATAATACAATATATAACACAATATAACGGTTAAAAATTTCAAATAATGAAAACGAGAGTTGACTTTTCGAGACTTGTTGGGTGAAATATCTAAAATCTATGGCCCTGGTTAAACATATTGAACATATTGAAACTAGGGTCAGGTGAGTAACACAAAAATAAAAATTCCCATAGAATAAAATAACTCAACTACAGATATAGTCCCTTTATTATATAAAAATCAAAGTTGTTAATAATGTACCAATATTTTACATTAATCAAACAGTAGAAATATTTACATCAGCAAACATTTACATCATATGTTTCTTATAATGTATTTATGGAGGATATTAAATGGTACCATGCCCCCTGTAGCGGACCTTTCATAGCTATGTTCATGTAACTCTTTTAGCGATATGGGAAAAACTTAACACACAAATCAAATTTTAGTATGACATATAGTATACAAAGTGACTGTAACCAAAACAGATTCATAAATTGATCCAGAGTTTTAAAATTAGCACAAACACATCAGTCCAAATGCAGGCATACTAGATGCGGTGTTTCAGAAGGCTTCAGCCATCATACTCTCCAACTTCTCCTCTTCCGCAGTATTGGGCACAGTAAAATGTCTTGTGAAATACTGCACTTCTATCTTTCCTGATTCGTGTGCAAGTGCTATTCCTGAATATGTGTTTTGTTGTCCTGAGTCTCCAAACACAGCCATGGCTGTCACCCTGAGGGGAGAGCAGAAAATGAGCACCACATAGCAATATATCAAATCACTCGTAACCATCAACCCTCATGTCCGTCTGCCGTTACCTGTCCGACTCCATCCTTTCGGTGACCACAGGCTCTGCGTCGTTTTTCAGCAGGTCCCATATGTGGAGGGTCGAGGCTGCGTCGAGCACACAGAAGACTGTAGGTCTGGTTTGGGCCCACTGCAGCGAGACCACCGGTTCACCAGCTGTGCCGTTCTTCCACTCTGCCACAGGATGCTCATGGCTGACGTCATGCAGCCTGATGCTGCCGTCCCCACAACCCACCTGGAATAAGGATGCGGAAAACTATTATTGTATTTTACTTTTGTACACATTCTGAAAAAAAACATCTTAGAATTGCGATATGATTTGGGGTATTAGCGGGAATGATCATTTTTACATCATTATTAAACATATAAAATCATTATGGTGTGATTTTTTGCGGGGATCTGTACCAAACTGTAGCATATGATCTCTGCAGCACAATATTTAATTTAAAATGGTATTTTGACAAACATTTTGCCTTTAACAGATATTGCACCTTCTGTGATTTGAAATTTGCTATTGGCCATATATGAACTTCAATAATATTTTGATTAATTATGCAGCCATTAGAAAGGCCCCCTGAAATATGAGAGCAGTTTTCATGCTTTTGTGCAAAGCATTCAATCTTTGCAGGCCACTGTTGTGTAGCCGCTGCTCCTGTACTTGAACACTTCTACGGATGTAAAAAATATCACATTATCTAATTTGGGGGGGGGGGGGAGAAAAGACATGAATAGTCCTCAAAAAATGTGATTCTCACCAAGAACAAGTGTTGCCTGAATGGAGAAAAGTGGATAGAGGTGACATCAATAGGTCGGACTCCGGCCTCCTGAAACCTGTAACACTTTGGTGGGGCCTTTAAACCGTGACTTGTCTCATGATTGACCAGACCCTAGAAAGAAAAATATATTAATGCCACAAAATGACACAGTAAGGACATAATGCTACGGCAGACGAGATGATGCTCACCATATTGGTGCCGATGAAGAAATGATTGGAGTCTGTTGGAAGGAATTTTAAAAGAAGCATCTGTAACGGCCCTGTTTTTGCTGCATCTCGTGGTGATACCCTGTGAACCAGACCATAGGTCTAACGTTACCACATTCCCAGCCAAAAACAACCTGTGCAACAGTGGAACACGGCCCTTCATCGTATGTGCTCCGATCAAATGTGGAGGTGACAAAAACACCAGCCCGCAGTACACAACTAACAAGTTCGTATGACCCCGACAGAGCAGCTGTGTTCCCCGGGCAAAGATATTGTGGGGTATTTTGAGCAGGTGATGGATGGTCATCACAAGCTATTGATCAATCTCACCTCTCAGCAGCGAGGAGGTGGGAGCTGTGAAGTAACTTCACTCTGCCACTAGGCCGGAGCCCTGCATGGGAAAACATCGAGAGAGAGAGAGAGAGGCTGAAGCTTGTGCCAGCATGTGTGAGAAAGATGAGAATGTTCGTGGAAAGAGAGGGAGCGCTCTAAAACGGGCCCGTCTTACCTAGATCAGTTGGAGAGCCTGCCTCGTTGGCTTTTGGGAGTTCCACTACCACCTAAAGGACACAGAGAGGAAATCATCCCGTGGCGAGGAGCGCCTCTCAGTTAGAAAACCTCCGGCGTGACGAAAAAATTAAAATGATCTACTTTGTTGCCCGACTTACCCAGAAATTCAAAACCCCCATTTCATCCAGAGAAGCCAGCTGGAATGACAATCCCGACGACTCTGGATTACGAAACAGAACAACAATTAAACTTGAAGCCATCTGTGAATGGCAGAAACACATGGCGGCGTGTTTATGAAACGATACACAAGATCTTCAATCGATGTGTTGACCGCCTCGATACCATTCCATACCTTCCTCGGATGCCAAAAGGGGGACCTCTGGCCTCAGCCCCCCCGGTGCAGTGGAGGGGACAACTTCTACAGATGTCACAGATGAGACATGGCTCAAGGCGGCCATCACTGCATCTGTGTTGACAAGGTGACGAAAGAGAGGACGTGAGCGGACACTGAAGGAGCATGAAGTATGAAGTGTTACATAATAAAAGGAGCCTCTGAACTTTACGTGACAAAAAGGGCAGAGGCAGTCCTGGATCACGGGTTATAGTAATTAAGGATGTTTGCTACTTTTTGCCTGCTGACAGTCGTCTCCTTTGCAGAGAGACAAATACACATCATCAAAGATGGCTGAGCGAAAGATCAAGGGGCTTAATATTCTTAAAATAAAGGCAGACGAAAAAAGCTCAGTAGACACATGCTCGGTGCAGGGTTGCGGATTAGCACGACCGATGACATGGTATATTAATAGGCTTAAAAGGCAATACAAATAAATAGATTTATTGTGAACAATATGACCAGGGATGTGATAGTTAAATTAATTACTTAATTCTTCTGTACATTTATCCATCCATTTGAGGCTGCTTATCCAGAAATGAATGTTATTTACCACTGGCGAGTACTGACAAAAATGTGACATAAATATCAATCACTTCATGCACTCGGTAGGTAATTCTAGGCCTCATCATACCTACTGGCTTTAAGTGATATTTTGCATATTAGTACGACTGTGAGTCAGGTATTAAATTACATTCTATGTGGTATTAAAAATGTCTTTAAGTGTATTTAGTGAACCCTGCAGAAACCCTGTGGAAATCCCCCCTTCTTTATATAATGACACGATGTGATGTATAGTAGAGTAAGTAGAAGGAAAAGACACAAAAAGTGTCATCAAAACACAGGAAAATATTAATATGGTATGAGTGAAATTGTTACATTTTCTGGAAAATCTCGGTTTTAAACTCTGTAGAACGAATAGGATTTCAGGATGGAATTCTCATCTGTAACATACCAGTGGAGAAGGTAGGCTGTCGGAAAGTCCATTCATCCTCCCCTATCGTCAGGCGGTAATGGTCACTAGCGTGCTCCCTCAGGTCCCACAGCACCACGGAGCCAACTGATGTGCCTGCAAACACCAATATGGCCTTTCCAGGGCTGAAGCAGCAACACTGCACCTGCAGCAGTGAACATTAAAAAGGGTTACTGGGCGTTTCTGTGGTTGTTAGACGTGAGGTGACTATGCTTCCCTTCTGTGAGTTATTGGCACATTTGATTTCAGGACACTACATTGGTTTTGGTGCATGTTGCAAATTAAGTCTGTCATATCTATATAATAAAATATGGAGAATATAACTGCAATTGCAAATTGTATTCACGGTGATTTTACTTCACCTCAGATTCGTAGACGAGGACTTTTTGAGGTCTGGACGGCTCCCAGATGTTCCAGATGCAGATGATAGTGCTGCTGTCAAGGCGCACAGCGCTGGGCTTAGTTGTCGGGCTGTGGACTGACATCATGGTGTGCCTCTGGACCTGAGAGAAGTGCACCAGGCTGATGCGGCGACCTGCAATTGGATCATTAAATCAAAAAATGGTGCAATCCGTGGGAAGAGCTACCTGAGATGTGTAATGACGTGCATGTTCTAGTTTAATCTCTCTGGTTGTGGTGCGTACCATAAAGAAAAGACAAATTAGTGTTGAGCTGTAAACTTCCATCGCTGAAAGACGGCGTGTCTGTTTGAGACCTCAGCTTCCTCAGGGATTTCCTCTCAGCTCGATCCTCTTCCAACAGGACAACCATGACCTTGATTCAGTCACAAAAAAAAACAACAGATGTTAGTTTTGGAGACAAAAAAAACCTTCATGTAGGAAGTCAAAAAAGTGTTTCATTTTGAGTAAAAAAGACAACCTGAGAGGCTGAGCGCAGAAACGCTGTCAGACACTGCGAATCAAAGCTCATTTCACTTTTGTTTCGTGCTTCGTGGGAGAGGTTTGGATCTGTCAGCAAAAAGAAAAACACAGTTATTGACTTCTACATCTAAACATCAGAGGAAATCTGTTTAACAAGCCTTCCCTCACCCCCACAGCCTCCATTGTGCTCTGGAGGATGCTGCGTCCACTTCTCACACACCTCGATCTCCTCCGTCTGGATGTCTCTGTCGGAATTATCCTCATTACACTGGACGTAAGCCTGGCAAGCAGGAAGTCATTCAAATCACAATTTTGTATTCTTTTTTTTTTTATTTAAATAATTTGTGTCAAGTAAGAAAGAGCAAATACTAACCTGCTTAGTGTTTGCAGTTCCAAAGGTTCTGATATACATGTCATATTCATTCACTGGTGGCAGATCCAAAAGAGAGACTGTCATTGAGAAATCCAGATCAATCAAGCGAAGAAGCTCTGTACTGCGTTTCCTGAAAAAAATACACGTTGAAGGTAGAATTAAAGACCACACACACACACACACACACACACACACACACACACTGTACTAGAGAAATCATACTACAAACCATTCAACATGAATATGTTTTTTGCAAGTTAACTTACTTCTGCTTTGTGGAAACTTTCTTGCTGACTTCACGCTGCTTTGCGGCTACAAAGTCGATAAACTTCCCCTGCTGGGAGGCTCTACTCTGGCTCTGGCTCTTTTCTGATCCTATTAAAAGAGCAGCAAAGATGCCTTACGTCCCCTATAATGCTGCAGACATTAACTGTCTTCTCATCAGAGGACAAACAAATCTGGGTACACTATAGCATACAAAAACACCAAGTGCCTTAGTTAAAACGGAAGAAAGAACTGCACCTCTGGACCATATAGGCGTTTCTTCCTCCACTCTGCTCGTAGCTTGTCTGGACTGAGCCATCCCGACTCTCTCGTTCTCTTCATCCATGGCTTGCTGAATTGCTTCAATTTCCTTCTTCCTTTGTGGCGAAAGCTCCTCCCTCTCTTCACCCACCTCTGGCTGCTGTGGCTCCCTCTCGTCCTCGCCTACACCTACGCTCGCATCCATCTCCTCAAAATCCTCCTCATATTCCTTTCAACAGAGAAATCCCATCATTTATACACCAAAATAAAAAAATAACCAAGAAGCTGCTAGCAGAAACATCTTATGAGAATGAAGATGGATGCACTCGTAAAAGCTGTGAATACTCACCAGTTTCTTTGAGCGTAAATTGATTACAACATGCAAAAGTAACACAAGAATGAGTCAATGAATGCAAAAATAACATTTAAACGTGATGAATTTGGTTCTACCGTATGTAGTCTTTTTACCTCAAAGTCATCTTCATATTCCTGGTCAGCCAAATCTTCATCATTGGCAACCTGCTGACGTGACATAAATGCATGAAGTAGAAAACACTTGAATAAGTGTGCAGAGCAGAAAGTCTTTGTGATGATGCAGCGCGACAGTGAAACTGAAGCTGAAAGTGCTGTAGAGGAACGAAAGTGCACTGCATGCAATGCAGACAGTGTATAATATACACGTATGGGCATACACACACACACACACACACACACACACACACACACACACACACACACACACACACACACACACACACACACACCTCGGTTTTAGTCTCCTGCTTATGACTTTTGTCAGATGCTGATTTCTTGGAGCTGGTCCCGTCTCTGTGAGGATCTCTTTCCGGTTCCTCCTCCTCCTCCTCTCTTTGCCTTCTCTCTTTGTGTTTGTCCCGTTCCGCTCGCTCTGCGTCACCGCGATGACGCCTGACCTCTTCACCCGGACCCTTCAAGTCTCGACGCTCCCCGGATTCGCTGTCATGCTTCCGCTTTTCATACTGGAGAACAGCAAAAAATCCACACATAGCAAAAAAACGATTTGACTGAAAGGAGCAACTTTAACCCTCACAAGTTACAAGTGGAATGCTCTGGAGTTGTGGGACACAGGCAGAATTTTAATGGATTTATTCCAAATGCAAAACAGTGATGAACAATCAGTATATCTACAGATGCTTACATGATATCCTCTCTCTCTGTGTCTCCTTTCCTTCTCCTCTTTATGTCTTCTCTGTTCTTCTTTGGGCTCTGAAATCAGAAACACATCAATGCTCACCCCAAATGGAAACTATGATCCTGTGAATATGGCTAAGTGTGCCCACGTCGTGGCCTCACCTCTTTCGTCCTTCACTTCAGAATGCTTTCTGTCTCTGTGTCTCTCTCGTCTTTCTTTGTCGTTCCTCTTGTCTTCATACTCGCCTTTGTGTCGCTCTCTCTCTTGATGCCGCACTCTCTTTTCGCTTTCGTGCTTTTCCAGTCGATCTTTTCCTCCTTCTGCACCCCGTCTCTCCCTCTCAGCCCTGTGCTCCCTGTCCCGCTCTTCTCTGCGTCTTTCCTTTTGTCTCTCTTCCCTTCCTTTGTCCCTGTCCTCCTCATTGCGTCTCTCTTTATCCCTTTCCCTCACTTTCTCCTTATCTCTATGTCTTTCCTTGTCCTTCTCTCTCTCGTGCTTGTCCTCTCTATCTCGCCTCTTGTAATCGTCATCGTACCTCTTCCCATCTACCAGCTTGTCTCTTTCCCTTCTCCTCTCCCTGTCATCCTTTCTATCCTTTTCCTTATCGCCTCTCCTATCCCGTGAGCCCTCTTTTCGTCGATCTGAATGTCTGTCTTTTTCATCTTCATCTCTTCTCTCCCTTGTAACCTCCCTGGGCTTGTCTCTCTGTCGTCTGGACTCCTTCTCTGGGTCCCTGTGGCGTCTCTCTACGGATTCCCCACCACGGGGCTTTCTCTCATTGTCATCTCGCCTCCTGACATTGTCATCACCACGTTCCTCCTCCTAAAAACAAGAGAAAATAAAACCATGTAGTTTGGATATTTTGTCTACTGATATAAATCAAGCTGGAATACTGACCTAAACTCCCAAAAACTTACCCTGATGTGTCTTCTCAGGTCAGCTGGTGTCCATGTGTCTTCCTTGGTTAATTTCTAAATAAATATTGTTCGATGTTCACTAGATGGGAATATCAACGTTCATTCAAACACAACACATCAATATCAAAGATAAAGCACTTACCTTGTCGCTATGCATGTTCTCATCTGTGTTTTTTACTTTTGAAGTCTTTTAAACGCCGAAAATCAACTCATATTTTGGTAATGACGCCGCCATGATGGCAAACCTCTGTGTGCGCATGCGCATTTAGTCGAAACCAAGGAGCTCGCGTCACTTCGGCTTGACAACAGGCTTCTTAATCACCGGCAGAGAAGTCACCGGAATAAACAGCAGTTGCCACTGCAGCGGCCAATGACTTTATGTATTTTTGGCAAACCGTATTGAAACGTTGTCGTTTAAGTGATTATAATGATGTACAGTAATACAAATGGCACCTCTATTTGTGTTTGGGTTCATTTCGATGCTTGCTGTTGTAAAACTCGTCTGTTGATCGATTTCTCTGTGTTCGTCTTTCTACACACGTCCCTAATATCTTAACGGCTCTGGCGTTCGAAAGCAAGCTAGCTAGTTAGCTAGTAAGCTAAGTTACGTGACTTGTTTTAAAATACACCCAATTCCGTATGTTTGTTTTCGTTAAGAACGGCTATTTGACAAGTACTTCAACCTCAACGTTACCGATGCACAATTGAAAAATTACAAGCTGTGTTTGCCGCTAATGACCACCAGATGGCGGTGTTTCTTTTCTTTTTTAGCTAGGCTACGGGCACCACTGGCAACGCACAGTGTATGATCCCTGTGCGTTTTGGGGAAACGAGCATTTAACCTGTGTAGTAGTGAGAGCAAGTAGAGCTGTGGACTGGACTAGGACTGGCTCAGAGGCCCGTTTTTGAACCATGTCAAATACATTCCCACGCTTTTAGCCGTCAACGCCAACGATTCCTCCCGCAGGCGATGGGCTGCTGGTGTGGTGCAGGTGAGCCAACGTGAGAGAACGAGGCTCCCCGAAAAAGGAACCGCTTCTTCGCGCATGGGGGACCGTGTCACCCGAGACCTTATCCGCATTTGAACAGTTTTAAGGGGACGCAACCCGGAGCACACAGAGACGCGAGTCTGGAGACAGCATGACCGATACAGGAGAAGCCCATTTACCTAAGGAGAACGGACACGTCGCGCCGCAGCCCACCGCGAACTTTCCCCATCCCTCAGCGGGGGACATACCCGATGATACCCCGGTGTCTTCGACCAGCGAGCTGACCCACACCTGGGTTCACGTGGCCAAGACGTTCGTTCTCATTTTCCCCATATACGCACTGGGCTATTTTGAGTTCAGCTTCAGCTGGCTGTTGATTGGACTTGTTATCTTTTTCTGGTGGCGGAGAATCACCGGAGGGAAGCTCAGCCGACTGAGTCGAGCTCTCGCTTTCTTTGAGCAAGAGGAGAGAAGTGTCAACCGGAGTCTTACCACCTCTGATTTACCACCATGGGTAAGAGACACACACAAATGCGGAATACAAGCAGATGAAAATCATGTCATTTATCCCTACTTGAGCTTGTTTTCTCTGTAAAGCATGTGTGGTATTTTTGTTGAATATTTTTGAGTTTCCAGGAAGAAACAATCAGCTGACAAGAGCAGGAGGAGCAGAGTTGAGCTGTAAAGCTGTGATGAAGCAGCTGTCTCCCCCCCCAACAGCAGTGACATTAGACTGAGTCCCAGTCTAAATACAGCAGGGTACAATGGTGAACCAGACACCACGCTGGAAGGGAAACATGCCCACAGGGTGCCTGTTATTTTGGGATGCACACTGTGCTCACTTGGAGTAACTCACTCTATTACAGCAACACGTTATCTTGGCAAAGGTGTTGGATGTCACTGGGGTTCTTGAGTACAACAACTCAGATGGTATTTTAGAGATACATATTTGACGACAAACTGCAGGGCAGTGTTTTCCCCACAAAATACATGTCTAATGTATGCAAAACCCTTCATTTCTGTCACCATAAGTTCTGAGAGGTTTGTAAGACATCATGTAATCCGCGTCGTTAACTGCTGCCTGGAGGGAGCTGGATTATACCATCAATGGGGGATCATCTCAAACTAATGTACTTAGTTTCCCGAATGAAGGATATACAATGTTTACGCATCAGTTATTTACATTCCACATTCATTGATTCGCTCTCAAACCCCCTGCTGACTCCTGCTACATATCCACAAGTTAACTGCGCTGAAAGTCCAGAGGACTGCAGAAGCCACTTCATAGTCATTAAGGCACTTTTTTTATCTCCTGTAGATAAACCCCAGCTGGTCTCAGGTGTCCAGTTTGGAAATCACTAAAAGAAACACGTTAGATTGCATTTAATCAACTGCTACCCAAGCACGAAATGATGCTCAAATGAACCGCAAATTAAAGTCAGCTTCAAGTCCCTTCTTCTTTACTTATCACGCTATAAATCCAACACTTTCCATATCAGACTCTTCCCAGAGTCCCAGCTCTAACTTGTTTGCGATGCTCAGTACAGCCTCATGTTGTGAGGACAGTAAACAGCTTATTCTGCTGACACATGGCTGAGGAGGCACCGAGGCTATTAGATGGGGGCGGAGGAACTCGATGGGGTAGAGAGGAAAGGGGCATTAATGATTTATAAAATAAACTGCAAGTCAAGCACTTCAAGTAACTCTGGTCGTACCTGAGGAGGCTGTGCATCACAGGAAAACACTCTACACATTCCAGCAGTTGATTAGCATGCCCCGGACTGACAAGCTGAGCTCATATCACTGCCTCTACACTGTGCTGTCACCGGGGCGGGGGGGCATTTTATAGTCATAGCTCCTAAATCTTTGCTAGTGCCAGTTTCTCCCCACTGGCAGCAGTGAGCCTTAATAGAAGTGGCGCTACTTTCCACAAGTGCTTTTTAGTAAAGTGCCCACTTTCCCAAACTTCTACGGCTAAAGAGCTCTCCTTGTTCCAGTTAATACCCTTCAGATGTATTCACTAGGGTGAGTCATTGGCTGCTTACACTGAAAGTAATAAGGAATGGATTTTAGTTTCATTTCACAGGGGGAATATATTCAGCTAACTGCTAGAGTATCGTGTATGTAAACCAGGAAAACACATCGCTATTCACATTAGTACAATATCCAAAGACAATAGCTAGTTTCTTATCACAATATCAACATAATATTGATATATTGCTCAGTCCTACACACACAAAGATGCTAAATTATCCACCCACAGGACCACAGACATTAGTGCACACTGTTGTTTAGGGAACTAGGCAACATTTTACCTCTTTAAAACATGTATATACTCTGTAAAAAGTTTAGAAAACAATTAGAAAATGACAAAGTAAATACGGGCAAGATATAGATATGATGCATTATTAACTATGTAACGTCTAGTTTGTTTGTTTCCATGTGCTGACTACTCTCCAGACTCATTTTAAGCAGTTCAACAAGCCTGTTAGTTTCAAGGACACTGTGTTAATTACACTTTTCAAGACATACGGCCCAATTAATTTGGAGCAACGAGCAGGAATAATTGAGCCGCATTTCTCCCACTTTCTGCTGCTCAGCTCGGTTTTTATCAGCCAGCACTTAAAACGTGTCCTGTTGAGTGTATCGTCCATTACTTCAGCTACATTAAGGTCACTGTGTCAGGTGTTAGGATGAAGCTTTCAGAGGATTACATTATTCCCACCTCATAACGCAACTACGGGCCTGAATCTGTCATAGAATTTTCTGCTCCCCGTCTTCCTGATCTAGCCACTGCCTGACAAAAGTGCTGGATCAGCACTTTTGCTGGAGAAGTACTGTCCCTGGTAGCTGTCGCGCTGATGTCATATCTCAGCAGCTATCCAAGCCAGAAACACCACTTCATTTTACTGTGGAGATTAGGGAATATACGCCTTCAACTCACTGTGAGTCAGGGCTGTTTATCTGTTATGTGTTAATCTGGTGTGTGCATTGCTGCACACCTTTTGTGCACGGTGTTGACTTTATCCCAGACATTTCCTTTACCTCATGTTAAATCAATGGCCAATTTACTTCGCTCTTCAAATGAGATTAGTCAAACTGCAGCTCAGTCTCACAGTGTGGAGGAGGTCTGGAAATGTGAGCGGGGTTGCTGTTGGATTTATTTCTGAAATGTCTTCAAATTAGAAAAGCACAGTATTAAAGTGACATTCATTATATTTTCTACTTTACCTGTGAACTCAACAGGACACGGCATGAATGCACTTTGCGGGCATTCAAAATGTGAAGGAGAAGTAGGTGTGAGGTTTGTGAAGTCAGTTATTTTATAACGCCGAACACATAAAGATTCTTAAGGTAGAGCTGAAAGTCAATGACTTCTGCTGGAAGAGTGAGTTGAAACGTCTTTTTCATCTTCCCTTTTGCTTCATCTTCTTTCTTTCTTTTTTTTCGATGAAGCAACACCTCTATATCAAGGTGCCCCTGCAAACCCAATAGAACCCCACCCTGCCCTCTCTTCTGTGAAAGAGACACACTTCTGTGTTGCTCTGGGTGCCAGCTTCGTCAGAATAGTTTGAAAGGAGAAATATGATGTTCCTGAGATCTGTGAACATGTAATTTGAAGTCAGACAAATCTCACTGCACAGATTGTTCGTGGAACTTGCCTGTAAAAATGTTGCATTATCGACCTTACTGAAAGCAACGTATACCAGATATCATCTGCTCTCTTTTCTCCACTTCAGGTCCACTTCCCAGATATCGAGCGAGTGGAGTGGCTGAACAAGGTAAAGGAATTGAACGGTTGTCTCTTGAATGTGCCCTCCCTTTTTATCTCGCGTGAACTGAAGTGAATGGGATTGTCAGTCCGTATTCCTCGGCTCTCTCCTCTTCCCACTGGGGCTGTGTGCATGACGCTGCAGCACACTGGACTGTTTCTGCTGCACTGTGTGAATGCATTTAACCCATGGGAATCCCTCACAGAGTTCACATTTAAATGATCTAGATGCTGGTATTAAAATGTAAAGTGGCTGGTGCCTCTGCTTGACGTGTTTGAGTCCGACAGATTCCACTCAAATAGAGCTATATTTTGAATATTTTAAAGTAGCTTTGTCATTCACAGTGTCGAGAGATGTTCCTGTATGAAGTAACAAGAATAGCTTAAAGAGGGAAAGGTTGTGACATTAATATCCCACAAGGTCTTACAGCGCATGCATGCACATGCCCTTTAGAATGATTATTTGTTTGCCCCAACCAGACTCTTCTACGATTTCTCTTTTAAAGTCCAGCCTTCTCTGTCTGCCTCCACCTCAGACAGTGAAACAGATGTGGCCGTACATCTGCCAGTTTGTGGAGAAGCTGTTCCGCGAGACGATCGAGCCGGCGGTGAAGCAGTCCAACGCCCACCTCAGCACCTTCTGCTTCAGCAAGATCGACATGGGAGTCAAAGTGAGCACCTCTCAGTGTTGCTGCATGGCTGTAGGACAGCTCACCTGTTGTTGTTGTTGTTTTCAGCAGGGACAACACAGACTACTGGCAGCAGGGGCCGTCGGGACAGCTGCTGAGGGTGAACGTATACGTGCGCGTCACTGACACATGTGCTTGTTGGATAAATAGTTTCCATGCGGGAGGGGGTCAGGAGAGGGGTCGACCACACGGGAGGGTTTTTGGGAGATGTGGAGGTGTTTGTGTAGTGTTGATGGACTGGAGTGGTGCAGGGGACATAACGGTTCCCTCTCTCTTGCGGTGAAGCCCCTGAGGATCAACGGGGTCAAGGTTTATACAGAAAATGTGGATAAGCGACAGATCATCATGGACCTGCAGATCAGGTGAGCCCACCAGATCCCTATTAGATCATTATGTATTACCTCTGTAGCTTACGGAGCCCGGGAGTGGCCATAGAGAGAAAGAGTAAGCAAACTGAGGCCATGATTTATTAATTCATGCACACGACATAAGTGTATATACAGAGAGAGAGACAGCACAACAGACCTGCCTTCTATTAAGTGGATAGAAACCACTAAATTAGCATATTACTAGTATAAATATGTCTTCTCTATTTGGCTGCTCCCGGTCTCCAGAGACTGTAGTTTGAATTTCCCAGACACTAGATATGCTCTGAATTATATATTTAGCACTTTTAAAAACAGTAACACTGGATTAAATACAGCGTTGAGGGCAACGTGACTCCAACATGAAGGATGCAATACGACTGTATAGAGAGGTAATTACTTAATGTAATTACAATGAGGGGCTATTGCTGGAAAAATGCACACCATAAATAACATATGACTGCAGTCATGTCACATCAAGAGGTAAACCCTTTGATGCATGTTTGTGTTTATATATATATTTAAAACAACTCCATAAAGATAATGAATTAAACATGGAGTCACCATGATGTTTAAATTCAAACAACGTCATGTCTTTATCCAACCATGAAAGTCTTTTTAATATTGCTGAAAGTGAGGACTTTTGTGTTTCGGTCCCTCAGCTTTGTTGGCAACACCGAGATTGACATCGACATCAAACGCTACTACTGCAAAGCCGGCATCAAGAGCATTCAGGTAAGGACATTCCTTTTTGTCTGATTCATTTCACATCCTCACAGAGGTACTTTCCGCTGGCACGAGTCTTGACCTCGACATTGGTTGTGAGAAAATGGAGCGTGAAGCGTTGGATATAAAGTGACACGGGGTCTTCAGTAAAACGTTTCTCCTGTCGGCTCTAATTTGAGAGGCTTATTCAGGAGAGGATGAACAGCAGCGTTTCTGTAAAGCACATAAAAAATACGCTGAAGGAATTTGGACTGAAGCTTTTCTCTTTTCACTAGAACAATATTAACTTATTATTTCTGCATGTATGATTTCATCATACGCTGCATGAAAGCATAAATTACTCATGTGTACTGTGTTCTACCGCTGATGGGCCTATCGTGTAATGATGAAGTTCATAACGACAACAATGAAATATTCAAGCGAATTGCTCTAAAGCGTTGGTTCCCAACCTTTTTGTTGTTGTTTAACTTGAGACCCCTTCAAAATAAAGCACCGCCTACTTGCAACCCTATGTCACAAGCGTCAAATGTCTAAATGCTGTGACCAGTTCATCCAAAGAACTGATTGTTTAATTAACTTTCCAGTACTTCCAAAGAAAACAAAAATGCTGGAGGCAAATCAGAAAAATCTGTGAAAAAAATGAAATGAAAGCGCTTGCAGAATTGTTTAGGGAAACAAATGTTACATATATACAGAATGTATATCTCCTGTTGATTTTGAAGAATCGATACAGTATCACAAAAGATAATATTGTGACACTCTCACTGTGCTATGAATATTTTCTTCCACCTCTAAATAATTTGCATCTTACTTTCTGAGCAGGCTCCTCTGCTCCCCGTGCTGCCTGACTGCATAAGCGTGTTTGTGTGTGTTTTGTTGTTCTCACATGTCCTTGGCTCAGGCAGAGAAAACAATCAAGTGTGCCTCCTTGGAAACAGATAGCTGTTAGGTCGGTCCCTGGGAGACATTTGTTACTCACTGCTCCCATCACGTAACTCCGGGAGCCCGACATATCTCCCCAGCTCATTATCAGCCACTAATACGTCCCCATCACTCCTTGAGCTGGTTTACATTACACCGAGCAGGTGCATTTCACCCCGCGACGGCGCTTCGATTACTGACGGCTTTGTGAGGAGAGGGGGTTAAAACGCTATTGGACTTTTACTTTTTGTTTAATATCAACCTGTCGTGTGGTCCGAGCGCTGTGATGGAGGTCCTCTCCTCATCACAGCTACTGCACATACAAACATTGCAGCCATTTTTCTTTTGTAGATTATTGGGTCTTTAAGACAGATATGTCAATACTTGAAATATATTAGTTCTTAAAGCTACAAATCTACAGAAATCTGATGACAGTGTAATAACATGTGGCACTGCCTCAGAGAACGGGGACAGAACTTCTTTTTACGATGTTTTGTGCAAATACTTGATTTACAACTAACTTTGAATTCTTGCTTATACCTCCTAGAAATTCAAGGATACAAATATCAGTTTGGCTTACTGGCTGACTCTCTCTATATCATTTACGAGGGAGCTCTTTTAATCTCACAGATGATAAAGTGAAAGATCGGTTTGTAGCTTCAGGACACGTCTCAAATTTAACAGTCCTTGGTCACAGAAATATTGGGAAGTCTTAAAATGAATGCAACGGCATTATCTTCAAAGAGCTGCACGCACACTAAAAGAGCCTAATTAGTATTGGTTTCAAGAGTGTTATTGGTATTGGTTAACATGGTGTTTTCCAATTTCACTAAGATTTTATTGCGATCCATCCTGAAAATACAAACATAGCCCCGAAACAAATATATTGGTGCTAGAATTTCAACGTCCCTTGTTCTAGAGCAGCTATGCTGTCGGCTATGTGGCGTCCACATGACACGTGTACAGCACTCCCAATACCATAATCCTTGTAATTGTCATAATACGTTACGGAGAAGGTGGACGACGACGCGGGGCGGATGTGAAGTCCGGCCGTGGTCAAGTTTCCAGCCTGTCATGTCCGCCAGCTAACGGCTCCAACCGCCGAGGAACGTCGAGGGCCAGCCGGTGGTGTGAGGTTCCCTTCAGCTCTCCCTTTGTGTTTGTTTGTCAATATGTCCCTCTTGTGTTTCCATAGATCCACGGCGTGTTGAGAGTGGTGATGGAGCCGTTGCTGGGTGATATGCCTCTTGTTGGAGCTCTGTCGATGTTCTTTCTCAAGAAGCCCGTAAGTACAGAGTGCTGATAATATGACCCTAGTTTAAGCGGTGGAGGTTAGAATGACACCACAGTCTGACTGGATGCATTGTGAGTGGAGTAGATGCTATTAAACTGGGATTTGTGACAGGTTTCTCCTTAATTCCAGCACCTGAGATGGTGCAGCAGGGCAACGCGTTGCCCATTTAATGTTGCACTTGCTTTATCTCGGTTGTCTCTTGTGCCAAGTTCGGCCCCATTTCCGCGAATATAACCAAATGTCCTGAATATCTTTTATGCTCCACTTTGGCTCTCTGTGTGTTTTATACTCGACACTAAACTTTACAAAATTGCATCTCATAAAACAAATCCCTCTTTGGTTTTCTGCGTCGTTATCTGTTTGGCTCTGTCAGGCAGAAATAATGTATGGAAATTGGATTCAAGGCCCGATCCCAATACACTCCTACCACCCTGACACTTAGCCGTACCGCTCCGCTTCTGCGTGTTCACAGACACGCTCAAGAGTGAGTGTTATGAGAAATATCCCAGAATGCCTTGTGCATCATTGGCAAAGATAGCAGCTGACGCTGCAGAAAAACCCCACAAATGTAAGTATATTCTTTGTTAATCACAACAGCAGAGGACGGCTTGGTGAGATTCCAGCAACAAACTTGTGGTGTCTGTTTATAAAAAGCTATCGACCAGCTCTGTCCGTGATTTGCATTTCACATTGCCAGTTGTTTGCATATCTAATATTTTTCCAGTGCACATTCCCATCAATCTCCCAGCGCAGAGCCGCTGCTGCACAGCTTTAAAATGTTTGACCGATTTATACCAAACGGGAGGACTCAGTGGAACGACAGCAGAGCTTTAAATAGCCGTGGACCAAGCCAGCCCTACTTTGTCACATTTGTCACCCAGGGACTCAGCTGAAGCTCAAGGTGGAGATATTACTATAGGAGGCTGAAGGGAGAGAAGGCAGCAGCTCCCAGTAAATCCTGTCGCAGTCCCACATGTATACAACCACACACACACACACACACACTCATGCATCGCAATCCTCTTCCTGCTTCTAGATGAGGGGCATTACTTTGGTATACCGGAGGAGAGAGAAAATAAGTTGTAAAAGAAATTCCCTGTGGGCAAAAGAATCTCAACTTTTTGTACCCTGGAAGCCAAATATCTCCTCTTCCTACTCTCAGCGTGCCATAGAAGGCCTGATCCCAGGTGCCAAATGAAATGGAAACATTTCCAGACCATAAGAGGTCTTGGTCTTGGCTGTGCAATCGCAATAACGTGAGTCAGTGCAGTGTAAATAAAAGGATGCAACACATTCTGCTGTGAGACCTCAAGAGAGAGTCCATGGCTCAGCCGAACACTTTAAATACGGACTCATGGATCAGCGGATGAGATCTTATGATTCTTTACGACTAGTGTTTCGATCAATCTATAGAATGAATGTATTGATAAATCAAATTTTTGATTAATCAATCATCTTTGGGGATAGTTAAACATTTAGGGGGGAAAAACTGTCATTGAATCATTTAGTCAATTGAAAAATAGCCGATTATTATTTTGATAATTGGTCAATTATATAAAATATCCAACATTTGCAGGTTACAGCTTCCCAAATTTGAGGATACTCTGCTTTTTCTTGTAGATATCAATATGTTTTAAATGTCAGCATTGCAGTTATTGTCCCATTCTTGATTTGTAATAGTAATGTTCTTGAGAGACAAAGAGTTTTTTAACTGCTCCATATTAGTGGTGTCCCTCCACACCACCTTCCCACAGCTCTCTCCTCCACACCGGATCACAGCCCCTGCAGTGCTCCCCTCTCCCCTGCGGCATCAGCGCATCTGCTGCAGTACTGTATAAGCAACCTGGGCAGCAGCAAAGTAGGGTGGGAAAGACTCATTAAGAAAGCCGCTTCGACTTGAGGGGAGAAGCAGATCAAAGCTCGCTGAGATGCAGGATCTGCCTGCATTTCAGTTCTCAGCTGATGCCATCCACACTCGCTTTGATTTGCTTTCCCCCACTGTCTCTATCCCATTTGACATACCTGCTGCTGGTGTTACCAAGATAGTGAATGTAAATTGGTTGGTTTTTGACTCTAGCATACTTAAAAAACTGGCACTTTCAACTTCGTTAAAGTACATGTCTATGATCTCATTGTCTACTCTGAACACTAATGAGACTCCAGAGGCTTGCTGCTGCTTTTATAAATATTTCAGTGAGCAGATGTTTTGTATTCATTTCCATTCAAGGATCTGTGCTTTGGCCTCTTGTTGTGACTCATAAACTGGAGCTAATTTTGCACACAAGGTGAAGCGAACTTAGATGGAAATACTCAAAAGGTAAAAGCAATAAGCTTGAATATAGAAGGCCAGAGAGAAGGTTGTGCTTTATTTTTACATTGCTTTGTCAAACCGGTGTGCAGCGAGAGAAACTCATTTTTCTAAAATCATTAATATGGCAACAATATACATAGTAGGTTCTCCAAATGGTCCCCAATACACAACTAATCTACATTCCCTTTTCTCTTCTTTTAGATTGTGGACATTAACTGGACTGGCCTCACCAACATACTTGACATTCCTGGGCTCAAGTAAGTCGGCTCTTCCTGCTTATCAAGAAAGGTCTTTGTTGGTGTTTGTGGGAGAAAAATGAATGAATGTTGAGATTATGAAGAGTTTTAGAACAAGTAGGAAACTGGACCTGGGTCTACGTTATTCACGCCATTAATTACTCATATAGTACTGTATAACTGCGACCATGAAATATATGTTTTCTAATTGTTTTGAATGTGTCAAAAATGTGTTGATTCTGCTTTTAAAGCATCTCAATGACATGTTGGTGCATTTAGCAAAGCGATACTGAAAATCCTTACTGTAGGGCGTACTTTTGTTAAATTTTCGGGTGTATTTCCACTCCATCCTGTCCAAAATGCGAATACAAATTCTACTAACTGTGCTCATATTTTTCTTACCTGCTGGAGGCCGATGGTGTCCTTGTGCTTGTTCCTGTTGTGCTTAAATGCTTGAACAGACTGAGCTGATATAGTTAAACTTGTCTTTTTGCAAGCAAACACTCAAGTATGATGTATTTCTCTATGCATGCAGTACGTTCACATGCACACAATAACCAGATTAAAGATAATAGTTCAATGATCTAACTGAGCTAAAGGAGGAAATGTGCTGATTGGTAGCCTGTTTCCTCATCCTTGCTTAGTTTGTTTTTAAGTGTCTTTTTCCCTCCGGGTAGTTGTGTGGGCTGAGCAGAGAGTAAATGAAAGTCGATTAAGAGATGCTAAAAGCCCAAGTTACTCACTCTTGTCTTGAGCGGTTCATACTTTATTTACACCCCGAATAAAGTGACATGAATGCTGCATGTGGTTTTCTTAGAATGCAGTTACTTGTCATATAGCCTGCTGATGTGGACAGACAGGCAGAGCTCAGTGGGCGGTCTCCGTCAGCTCCTTTGTTTTGTGTTTTGTGCATTGCAACGTGTGTGTGTGTGTGTGCACATGTGCCTGCAGTGTGGGGGTGTGTGGAGGAAGGGGGCACGTGCAGAAAACGAGGGGTTAGCTGCTGTAGGAGAGGTCCAGATGGTGAAATCGTAGCTGCAGCCACAGAGTTCTTTGAATGCAGCAGACAGACAGACAGACAGCATAAGCTGTCTGGAGCCTCTCCCAGCGGGTCTCTCCTAAACCCTGTTATTGTCATTATGCAACAAATCTCTCACTTGTTTTCATGACGTGATGTGTCATCGCTGTTGAGTCTGTTTTAGAATCAGAATCAAAACATTGATGCTACCAAAATGCTAACATGGACACATGCTGCAATGACAATGCCAACAAGGTGACGTTCAGAAGCTGTAACGTTTAGCATGTTCACCATATTTGGTTAGCATGCTAGCAAGCTAACATTTAGCAATTATAACAAAGTACAGCTGAGGATGATGGGACTCTGACTTACTCTCCAGTAGACTCAGGAGAGTAAAACACACAGAACCGTATTGCACATACTGTATATTATAAAGTATGAGTGTGCATGTCTGCAATGTGCACTCTTGTCCTAAACTTAATAACAAACGGTCCCACTTTCTTTACTTTGCACGCACACACACACACACACACGCAGGTGCGTGGGGTGTTCCAGTGTTTACGCCAGGGGAGCAATGAAAATGCTGCAATAAGCGCTGATGCGGCAGGAATCCCTTCACACCCTCAGCTCTCAGCCGGAGAAGAGCTCCGTCTCTGATCAGTCTCCCGCCAGAGGATCACAATGTCTCTAATCGGCTCACGAAGAAGAGCTGCATCCGGCTGTTGCGTTTGGAAAATGAGCTGAGGATTGATCAAATAAATATTTCTCCTGACTCCAGACACAAACACAGCCGGCGTAATTGCAGTTTTTGTCAGAGCAGATGGTGTCTATGCCCTTTCAACGCTGTTTTAGAGTAGCGAAGGATGGTTTCTGTCCTTTTTAAAGGTGCGATGTGTGAGATCAGATAGGGGTTTAGCATTCCACCTCTACCTCTGGGTCCATACAATCAAAATCCACAGCTATCAGTTATAAAAAAACAAACATTTGTGAGCCATTGGTGCAAATTGTCTTCATGACAGGAATACATTTTGGTTCTCTGTCCCATTCAATAACTGTTATCCACGTCCTCATAACGATGAGTCTACTGTGACTCCTTTCTCTCTCTGGCATCAGCAAACAGTCCCTCTCCCGACTCCAGCTCATCTCATTGACTCGGACGAGGAAACATGACCGGATTTCACCGATCCTGACTTCCTAACACTGGCTACATGCTGCTTTTAGAATGGATTTTCAAATGTAATGGATTAGGTGCAAAGCCCCGAGAGGCCTGAGATCTATCAGATCTCTTCTTGCCCTGTGTTCCCTCCAGCACCCTGAGATCCTCGGATGCGTCCATCTTTGTAGTACCAAGGTCCAGATTCTTACATGAAGGGGATGAAGCAGTCTGGGCTCCCACAATCAGGAAGCAGGCATCAGAGAGGAACTAAGTAGTTGTTGTAGGTTGGATGTGAGCTTAATAATCATAGGAACACATTTCTACGCTGCCTTACAAAGGCAGCGAGCAGAAACTAGAGAAACGCTGAAGTCAAGATATTTAGGCTCTTAGCCACCGTGTAGCAGATATATAAGTTGTAACACTTTAAAGGTGCAGTGTGTAGGTCTGGCAGCATCTTGCTACACTGGTGGACAACTAGAAAGGACATAGGATATGTACGTCAGGTTCCTGTATTAGTAAATGCCCGATTTATTAGGCAACTTGTCGACTGACCACGTTGTTGTATCTCATATGGCAGCACTAGAGCATTTCTCGATCCCTCCAGAGACAATTACAGGATCACTTCCAGTTTACAAACAATTGATGAGCTCATCCGCATGGTGATATATGGACAGCTGTGCCGTAATCACAACTGTTTCTCTTGGAGGGACAGCCTGAGCAATAACACTGGATGATGAATTTTCAATGTAATCCCATTTTATTTTTCAGCCTTGATTGCAATTTTCCAGCAGCGCCGCAGCAGCTAAATGAGTAAAGGGACGCCTGGTGCTAAAGCGCTCTCTGCCCTCACCGTCTCTGTTCAGTCAGTCGTGGATCAGATACACATTCAGAGGGTTGTTGGCCGGCAGCACCAACATGCTTGAATTGACTCCAATTTTCCTGCTATCTTCTCACATCTAAATCAGAAATGCACTGTACTAAACCCAGATTAAAGGAGAATATTTATAACCCAAGGGCACCCTTACCATCTGTTAAATATTTCATTGCATCATTCTGTTTATCTTCCTTTCCTCCCTTCCTTTCCTCCCTTCCTCACAGTGGCTTCTCTGACAATCTGATTCAAGACATTATCTACAACTATCTGGTGTTACCCAATCGCATCACCATCCCACTGGTCGGGGATGTGGAACTGGCCAAGCTACGCTTCCCCATGCCAAAGGTACTAGTGCAGTTTGAAAATGCAGTCGAACAAGTGGTTGAATAGGCCTCTTTGTTTATAGATTAGAAGCTCACTACAGTGAGTAATGTGATGAAGGAATTCATGGTTAGTAGCTGGAGGTTCTTCATAGTCCAATCTCATGGGGGCTGTGTGATGTTTTAATGATTATTGATGTAATAACAGTCGGTCTTCATCAGGGTTTAATTTGTATTTAACTCACAGCGGCACAAAAGCATTTCCATGCTTTGCTGCTTGTACCTGTATTCATGGGAAATAATTTTGCATGCAAATAATCAATAACATCATTGGACATATTTTGTCTCTACCTTACCCTCGTAATAAGCCACAGCTTTCTCTTGCATTGCCTCCTGATACCCGGTGGATAGAATCACATCCAATCAACTCTGACTCCCATTGTGACCTCGAAGTGTCGAAAGCTGCTGTTTCAGAGTTGCTCCCCGCTTTAACGCTGTGCTCCGCACGTCTCCACAGGGAGTCCTGAGGATTCACTTCTTGGAGGCTCAGGATCTGGAAGGGAAGGATACATTTCTGGGAGGGCTGATCAAGGGCAAGTCTGACCCGTACGGCATCCTGCAGATCGGCAACCAGCTGTTCCAGAGCAAGGCGGTGAAGGAGACCCTGCATCCCAAATGGAACGAAGTTTATGAGGTGACAAGTTCGGGATGCCTCTTGGGCGTAGGGAACGTTAAAACAGTCCAGTTGTTTACAATGAAAATTAGTTTATTCTCCCAAACCTGCATCAACAAGGGCTTTCCCACCAATATGTCCTTGGCTTCATCAGGCTCTGGTGTACGAGCACTCGGGTCAGCACCTTGAGATTGAGCTGTTTGACGAAGATCCAGACAAAGACGATTTCCTGGGAAGGTGCGTTTCTCTCATTTCCTGCTCTGCTCTGCTCTTATCAAACAGAAATAAAGTCTTTCTGCACCGCTGCAATGTGACTGATGTTTAAGAACAAACTTTGTTGTCGTTGACAGACAAGCCGAGGATCTGCTGTGGCTTTATACCTTGTGTTCTAAACTCAGCATTAAGAACACAAGGGGAAGGTGTGATTAAAGCGTCTGTGCTAGTAGACATCAGTTTAAGTAAAGCAGAGGTGTTAGCCCACACTTCCGAGCCCAAGGGCAAAGTCAATCGATTGTAGCACAAGGCTGTAACACTACACCAAGTGCTGACAACACAATGCAGTCGATCGATAACCGGACCCCCCCTTCTGTTCTGATTAACTGCTGTTATTCCTCTGCTAACAGTCTGTCGTCCCATTCTGTGTAATTATTATTTGACATTATTCACAGCCTGATGATCGATATGACTGAGCTGCACAAAGAACAGAAGGTTGATGAGGTAAAACCATTTATATGGTCAAAGTATTGCACTCACTTAGTCAGAATTTGCTTAGAGTTGGTATGTTACACGTCGTAACTCAATAGTTTGACAGCCCAGTGTTGCCAACTCTTAAGACAATAGCAGCATTTGCTCATTTGGCATGAATGAAATGATCGGACGGGCTTATTACAGTCCTGCGTCAGCCAAGTTTGTATTATTAGTGCATTTGATTTTAGGATTGGTGTTGGGATGTAAAGAAAATGTCTTCAAATATAACAAAAGAAGTTTCTAAAATAGTTTTTACTAAGATACATTACCCACCCTAACGAAACACAATAGTTTGGTCCCTTCAATGACTCCTCTCATTGATTTAACATTGATGTTTTGTAACACTGTTGCAGTGGTTTGACCTGGAGGAAACTCCTACTGGAAAACTCCACTTAAAACTGGAGTGGCTGTCTCTGCTCTCCACTCCTGAGAAGTTGGACCAGGTACAACACGGACAATAAAAGAACCTTTCCTGCTTTGACAGAGCTGACATTTTCCCCTCTCTGTGGTGACGGCCTTTTTCTGTTTTCTTCCCTGTGTAATCAGGTGCTGCGGAGTGTGCGTGCAGACAGGAGCCTGGCCAATGACGGGCTATCGTCAGCACTGCTCGTGGTCCATCTGGACTCAGCAAAGAACCTACCTGTAAGATACCGCACTGTTCGCTCTATTTTGATGCTGTCAGTGCTTTTGTTCCGGCCCTGTAGATTGTGGTAAAGTATCGCATTAGGCTTCTTTTTCCTCCACCCTGAAACACACACACCTGACCACATTAATTCTCAGAACCAGTTTAGTAAGTAATACCAGCGTTGCACACTTGTTTGAATAAGGATTGGTCAGTGTGTGCAGCAATGCTCCACTCTCCCGTCATCACGATGCTTCCACCTCACTCTGACCTGCGGGTGAACCTACCAACCACGCCAGGTTGTTTATTTTTTTCCTCATTATCTTAGCTACTGCAAACCCAGCCATTAAAGCAATGATGAATGGTTATTATGGATAGTCTTCAGCTCCAAACGGGTCAATATGTTTTTAACCACATTTATGATTATGTCACTACAGCTCAGGGATTCTGTTTTATGCCAATATTTTTCTCGCTGTTGTCAAATGAGAACCTTGAACCTCAACAACCTCTACTTTTCAGGACCCGTGTGCATTCATTAAGTGTATCTGATATAATTTGAAATCTTTCATTGCACCAATTGTGGTACCTGTAACCTGTAAATAACCATCAATATATACCACAAAATAACACGTTATTTAGCCCATCTCAGTCCTCATATCTTCACCTTTTTCCTCTTTACTCTCTTTCCTCTTCACCCAAGAGCGTCTTCACAGGCAGCTTAGGCTGCGGAAACTTGAGTGCGAGGAGAGCATCGGGTCTAGTCTTTTGTGAGAGCAATACTTCAGAGTATAGAACAATTTTTGTGAGTCCCCCCCGGTACTTTTTTGCATCCTGATAGTGTTAGCATTAGCGGTGTGCAATGACGTGGGTTGAACAGTAACAGTAGTCTTTCAAAACCTGCATCTTAACGCATGTGTTAGCTGCACGGTTTTTATTGTAACATCTGATTAAAACGAGTGCCCAATAACCGTGAACATACAGCAGACACTTCTAAACAGAGGGCGGAGTTATGCCAGTTTCTCAGTGAGATGCATATTCTTCTAAATCAGGTGCTTAGTTCGAGGCTAAAATATGGATCATCTGCTGTACAAAGAGCTCATGGCAGAGCTCATAGTGATCTTTGTCTGCGTTAGTGAGCCAGTTAATGTGTAGCTGCACAGATACAGAATGCCTGTAGCTTGTTTAAAAAGCTGCACAAAGTAGCTCCTCCAAACACCCTCATTATTCTGACCTGTGTTTACATTGTTAGCTCCTTGTAGCACCGACAACATCAGCCCTCATCAGCTGCTTTTCATTTTATCTCCCACATCATTCATGTCTGGCTCGTATTTCAACATGTTTCTCTTCGTGCCATTTCTTAACCATACCCGACTCGAGTCCTACTAACTGTGGGCGTGATTTTCTCCCCCAAATCTCCTCGTGGCTTAAAGAGCAACCTGTCAGATTTCACCTATGACGGGTTGAAGCAAGTCTCAGTCTTTAAGGCCCTGAAGGTAATGTGGGAAAGATAGTTTGCATGGACAAATCACACCCCGTGTCTCATCCGTGTTATGTGATTGTGATGGTTATCAAACAAGCAGAGGGATTTATCTTATTTGAAAAATGTGCATGGTGATGGGGGATTGCATTGTCTGTTTTGTGCCTTTGTTGTGCCATGCAGTTTTTGTTTTTTTATTTGTAACAATATATAAGTTTCCACCTCTCCTATCTTGTGATCTTGCATGAAAAAGTTGAATACTGCACTCAATCTGTTCTGTTCTCTGTGTGTGTCCAATCTTTATAACTGTGGCCACTTTCACAGCATTTACGTATATAAATGTCCTTCTGCTGCCTATCCAACATGTGCTCCTTTTTCAGTGAATTATGTTGAAGGTTTTCAACGGCAAAACCTGCAGAGCAACCCAGCCTGTGTTGGCTAATCAAAGAGTTGATACTGTCCTCATGTTGAAACTTATGATAGCGTAGCAGAGTAGGACGTGATGCTTGTCAGGCCAGCATATCTGCATTTCTTGGACACGGGGGTGAACTCGACTGCTGCTTTGTCGTTTCATGCCTTCAAGGAAGTTTGCGGTGGCACTCCCTTAGTACAACATAACCCTTCACAGTGCGTCAGTTTCATCTGGCATTGTAGGGCAATTGGAGTACAAATATTTCTGTTTTGCTTCCAATAGAGGACTCTTTGTTATCCTGACTGCACTGCTGTTAGTGAGCTGACAGACTGAGCTTCTGCATCTCTTTGTTGCCTTTATTCATCAATTGATATAAACCTGTTGACTCTATTTCATAGAATCTGTCGCGTCGACATCAGAACAGAGATTTAGAAAACATTTGCACGTTTTCTGGATGTGGACAGTGTGACTAGTGAGCCGTCACTGCTTCGAGATATCTTAAATCTGGATATGGATTTCTCTCAGAGGGCCTTACAGTATGAACAACATACAACACCATCTATCCTGAGACCGTTGAAAAGGAAAAACTCAACTAACAAAAACTTTAACGGGAAAAAGAAAAGTGGGGAGAACCTGAAGAAGCACAACAGAGCAGGGATTCCTCTTCCTGAACATACATGTTACACACAGTAGACAGAAGTAGCAGAATTACAATAGAGAGACACATAATGATATTTTTGGTAAATTAAGGACAATCTATAAAATATTGATAATGTTAAACGCTGTGCTTTTGGTGCTGAGTGCCTTCTCAGCTTGAGTTGTAGCATATCAAAGTGTGTGATTGTCTTAATCGGCCTGAATGTACGACGTGGAGCTTAATTCTAATGCTGGTGAGAAATAGGTGTCAAATTTAAGCACCATCCTCAAGAGAAAGGACAGGTTAACAATTAGGTTTAAACTTCCCCCACCCCCCCCAGGCTTGCAGATATGTAGGGTATTATTATTCTGTAAGGAGTACCGAATAATACTTAGCTGTCGAAGCCCAGCATGCTAAAATTAGAAAGCAGAGGAGACAAAGCTTGTCTCCTTGGTAGCCTCTCTGCCTGCAGCCCCGCTTGTCAAAATGTATGGTGATGTTGCTTCCCTTCTGAACTGCAGACTCTTTCTCCTACTGTGTGCCTGATACAGAGTCTCAAGAAGCCAGTGTTTGAGTTTGGGTGTAATTATATTGTCCTTTACTGACATTTATACATTTTGTGCGTCACAGTGAGGATAATCAGCTCACCTCCCCCTCTCTCTCGTTCTCTAATAGTCTGCAAAGAAGAGTAGCAGCGAGCCCTGTCCGTATGTCCAGCTGACTGTTGGACACAAAACACTTGAGAGCAAGGTGAGTCATATCATTATTCATGAGGATTAGTCTTTTCCTTTCATTATGAGAAGAAAAACGACATCCGGAGGTGATTTTGTTTGCAATCTTTCAATTTTAAGTTGGCAATAGCAACTTAAATACAGCAGTTCTATTCACCAGAATACATCTCACATTCTTACAGCTAACCCTAATCTCATTCTTTCACCATCTCTCCCTGGAGCGTTCTATCGCAAAATGTTTCGCTCTTACTTTGGTATCAAAAGAGAGAAATGATTATTCAGAAAATAAAATGTTAAAACCTCCAACTGAGCGTTAAGTGTCAGCTGAAGAGCTTCTGCGTTGATATTTAGTGTATGTACCGGCTGTTTAAATTATTCAGGAGGAACACTTACTGTAAGTAGACCGAGTTATTGTTGATACTGAAAGCATGTGTGTTTGAGAAGGTTTGTTGTATTAGATCCCTTTTGTAGAAGAGTTATAAGATCGATGAAACTGTTGATTATTAAAGTGACACTTTATTTGCCCTTTTCTTTTGGGCGACAGAGAGTAATCTGACAAGTTAACATGTATAATGGTGAGATCGTACAGGTTTATGTTGTGGCCATCAGTTTATATTATTTCAGCTTTGTTTCTGAGAAATAATGCCTTGTCCAGGTGGCGGACAGCTTACAATACTACAATACCCATGAGTCAAGGAGAGGCGCAAATCAGAGCTGCAGCAAATTAAAAACATTTACATTGCATTTCATTCAGAAGAAGGCCACTTAAAATAGCTCCTCTTTCTTCACAACTATATATATACTATATAAGTGATGTCAATCAAGCGCAACGGCTATAATAACTCCTTTGGTCACCTTGCCTACAGTGTACTAAGTTTAGAATGTTTATGAGATTTGGGGAAAAAGGCCACGAGTCTGACATCGTTCACTCAATATAGACGACCCTTAAAGCTAAAAAGACACTTTAACCTCAAAGTCATTGTTCCATTTAAAATCCAATTTGCTTAAGTTCAGCGCTGAAACTATGACGAGTCTATCGCTGTCCTAATTATGTAGTCTTTGAAACAGATTTGAAACAGAAAAAATAAAAGCATTCATTTATGTAAGGTGGGCAATAATAACAAAATGAACATAACCTGAAAATATACCAGAAAATGACCAAGACATGCAATAAGAATATATGGTGTTCAGTTAATAGTATCATGCTGACAGTGTTAGTATGACTCTACATTAAGTAAAACAATAAAACAGGTTCTAATGGCTGAAGGTACCATTGAAAGATGCCTCCAGATGAAAGTGTGTTGTTAATTAGCTGCTCTCAAGAGTCTTTTAATTAATGACTAACAAAAGGCTACCTGTCTTCCCTTAAAGATCCGGTACAAGACCAAGGAGCCTCTGTGGGATGATTGTTTCTCATTCTTCGTTCACAATCCCAGGAGGCAGGAGCTCGAGCTGGAGGTGAAGCTGCACAACTCATTTAAAATTCCCACTGATGCATTTTTTTTTTTTACGAGATCGTGCACTAAGTGGCCCGATGCAGCTGCCTCGCGTTAAAGCAGATCTTCCTCAATGCACAGGTGAAAGACGACAAGCACAAATGCACCCTGGGTAGTTTGTCGGTGCCTTTAAGCGGCCTGTTGGCGGAGGAGGAAATGACGCTGACTCAGTGCTTTACTCTCAAGAACTCCGGGCCCAGCTCGACCATCAAACTCAAGATGGCCCTGAGGGTAAAGATGGAGCGCATCACTTCTCACTGTCCTGCATGAATTGGTGATGTAAGAGGTATTTATTTCAGGCCGAGGAAACCGGAACAGATGTTCGGGATCTGCTGTACAAACAGAACGGATAGAGAGAAGGCAGTTCAGTGGCTCAGTTCATTTAAACTAATGTTCCAGCAAAGCAATTGTTGCCAAACTAAAAATGATTTACTGGAACAGCCTTTTACAGCTTATGATGTCAGCTCAATTCTAATTTGGCCCGCCTCCCTGCGCAACTAGTGCCACACCTAGCTGTCAAGGTTTTCCTCTCAAGGCTCATATGTAGTTTACAACGACAACAGTGGCAGATTTACCTCTCAAAATGACTCTTAATACTCGAAACAATGAACCCTGGAAGTCAGACGCGGGTAGACAGCAGCAAACGTCTCATTTTATTGCTCAGAAGCATTGATTTCCCCGGCTGAAATGTCGACTGTCCCTGGTAGATTTGATCAGTTGCAGTTAGTTTACTTTTTATGGTTTTAATGTTTAATGTTGTGTTGTGGTGCTCCGCGACGGTAAAGGTCGCTTCACCCAAAATGACTTATAAATAATTAAATTGAAAAACAAAAATGACAATGTTCTTGCTCACCAATGTTCTTGGTCACTGGCCATTTAAATGGACAGATTGAATTTCAGATATCCGTCACGGAAATGTCACCAATACAGTGAAAGTGGGTGTAGTTTGTGGCACAGCGTTAAATAATAAAATTACATTTAGAAAACAGTTTGAACTGAAACTTCTTTCTAATGAAGAATTAGTTAGGCTCCCCCAATTTAACCCCAGAACTCAAACGTTTACTCTTTTCACAAAGGCGCCTCGACATTACATGATACTAATGAAACTATCATGCTGTTATTGACTTTCTGTTTGAGTCACTGCCTCAAAACACCGGATACGGGAGCAAGTAGATTACATTGCCCCTTCATGACACTGAAACAAAGTGCATTCTTGTGTATTGAGTCATCACAACTAATCAAATAAGACAATGAATGCAGCTCTATCAAATATATTGACCGACGTTGAAATGGCTTTCCTGTATTGGATCACAACCAACATATCAAGATTCATAACGGATATCCGAAGAGGGAAATTGCTTTATGGGCTTGTTGACCGTTCTGGATCGAGAAGATGGAGAGATAGATATAGCTCCGTAAAGACAGATTTGGCTGTACAAACTCGCTGAATAAGACATTTTTGAGCTGTATCTGCTGTATTTTGAGGCCACTTTACAAGAAAGGATAACTCACTCTGACCAGAATTTTTGTTTAAGTTTCTCTAAAGTTGCATTTACAACCACCAACCCAACCAAAGCCCCTTTAAAGTCATTTTACTTGAGCTGCTGTACTTTGACAGGACATAACAAGTCAAATTCTAAATCTCACTCAGAATATAACTGCAGTACTTTGCTGTGTTTCTTATTCATGATTGGGAGTAATGTCCTCCTGTCTGTCTGTAGATCCTGTCCCTGGAGAAGCAGGTGTCCTCAGACCAGCCGTCCTCCGTCCAGGTCCGGAAGTCCAGTGTCCCGCAGCCGACCGCGGCGCCCACCCAGAGACGATCGGCCTCGGATTCCCCGCTGCCTCCACCCACGCCTCCGCCGCGGATAAGCGCCTCCACCCTCACCCTCCAACACAGGGACGGCGAGCCGTACTCGGCCAGCCCTCTCCGCAGCGTCTCCAACCTGAGCAGCTGCATGTCCAGCTCCCAGAAGCACCTGCCTCACAAGGAATCCACGCCCAGTCTGGCCTCGGATATCTCCCTGCCCTTCGCCACCTCGGAGCTTCAGCAAAGGCTCCGTCAGCTGCAGAAGTAAAGGACATGCATGATGCATTATTTCTAGAATTGTTTTCCCAAGCAGCGTTCCTGTCTTTGATACTTAGCTCATCCTTTCTGGATTTATTTTTCGGCTCTTTTCAGAGATCTTATCGGTCGTAAATGTATTTATGTCGTTTAAATTCTGCTGCTGCGTCTGATAGAATGTCATCTCGACTTGTGTATCTTTATGAATATTTTATCTGTCTACCTGTCAAGCTATCCATCTGTCCCGGTTGTATAAATTATCTGCAGCCTTTGGCAGTGACGCTGACTTACTCTGTGGTGTGTTTATAGTGGCTCGGCCCCCAGCCAGTACCCCCTGGGCGAGGTCCAACTGACTGTCCGCCACAGCTCCCAGAGGAACAAACTCATCGTGGTGGCGCACGCCTGCCGGTGAGCTCCACAACTGCCATTGCCCCCCCCTTCCTGCATTTAGATATTTGTTTTGTTCCAACTCATTTGCTTTTTTGGCCCAAGTCTCCTGCACTTATATTAATTTGAGGGGTAGTGATTTCTCCAGTATGCGGGTCCTGTCGCTTCCTGTGGAGCTATTCACATTAAAAATAAACAGGGCACCATTAACCTAAGTAATATGTGACTGGCAGCATGTGAGTGAAACAATTTTGTCCCGTGTGTCCTCAGTAACTTGATAGCCTTCACCAAAGACGGCTCGGATCCCTTCATCCGCCTCTATTTGCTGCCTGACAAGAGCCGGACGGGGAGGAGGAAGACCAGCACAATGAAGAGGACCCTTAACCCAGTTTATGATCAGACGTGGGTTCAGATATTGTTACTATGTCATGATTAAAATAAGTCGAATATTTGTGAATATCAGATGTGTGTTGCAGCTGTCAGGCTTTTCACACGTGCCCTGTTCTTGGAAGTTCATAGGTTTAATCATAAGCTGAGTGTTTGTCGTTATAACATTATTGTATTAATGTGATGGCCGGCGTTGTGTTTTCATTGTTAATGTTAAACATTAAGAGCTTGATCCAAATGAACACAGGGAGCACATCACGGATGCTAATGTCTAATGTGTCAGACAAATGAAGCATGAATCACTCCATGGTAGATTGGTTTAATGAAATCCGTGTGTTTGTGTGTTACAGGTTTGAGTTTAGTGTATCCATGGTGGAGCTCCACAGGAGGACTCTGGATGTAGCCGTGAAGAACGGAGGGAGCATCCTGTCCAAACACAAAGGGCTTCTGGGAAAGGTAACTTCTGACTGTTTTTATGCGTATTGTCCAGCAGTAGAGCCGCTCCCAAGTACGCCATATATTCCAAAAACTCTTTATTTTTTGTTCAACATCGCAGGTGCTGGTAGATTTAAGTGGGGACGATATATCCAAAGGATGTACACAATGGTAAAGTTGTGTTTCATCTTTTCCTTGAGCAGCATTGAGTGACTTCTTCTTCTGACTTCTTCTTTTTAGTGCTTAAATCCACATCATCGCATCCTTTTCTCTTGCAGGTATGACCTGAGCGAAGACGGCGTGTCGTCTCAAAGCATAAGAAGTATTCAAGACTCCCTCTTCACATAGTGAACCCACGTCTCTGCTGTAATATAGTTTTCTTGTTAATAAAAGGGCACATCATTTTGTTGTATTCATGTACATTTTCCATATATTTCAGAGGACTGATTTCAGCATGCAAGACATCTTTCAAACATTTCCTCTCATTGTTTCATAAATGGAAGATATTGTAACATAGTGCAATGTGTTGAAACACACTAATCGCCTTGTCTCTGTTTCCAGTGTTTTATGTAAATACCAAGTCGATAATATTTAAAGAATTTGCAGGGGTTTTTGTGGCCATATATTTCTTTTGGGGGAACGTTTTTGCCGTCCGTTCCTTTTGTTCAAATGTGCCAAATTCTGTTTTGTCATTGGAGAAAAACTCTTACCAAAGCAACAGATACAATCACTAAAGTAGGCTTAAGTAGCAGTCTTGACTTTGATATATTTTTTTGTCATGCAGTGAAATTTGATCGTTTACCTCTTATTGTTCTTTATGCTTGATTACGAACATGGAATGCAAAGATTGAAATGATAACTCTGTAATTTTTAAGATGATTTTGTGCAATATTTGGATGTTACTGAAGACCTGGGGGCATTTTAGGGCTATGAACAAGTGCTGTATACTATGAAGGATGCTTGAATAAGGTTTTGATTGATGTTCAAACCACACGTGAGTCGAACAAAGTGAATACAAGGAGTAGAGACAACAGTTATTGTATTTTACGAGCAGGGCTGCCAGACGTTGTTCTTATGATGACACAGCTGTAATGTGGTCAGGCTTATATGTTTTGTCATGCAGTCATAACTGTTGGAGATTTTAAATACCTTTCTTGTTATCTATCCTGTGCCTTAAAAAAAACCCTGCTCTGTAATTTTTGCCTTCTTAATGTTATTATTTTGAATGATATGATGCCTCATGGGTTTTGAGGAATAAATGTTTTCTCTTGTGAAAATGGTCTCGCTGTTGTTTTTCCTTCTGTTTAGCAACAAAGAATATAAATTATTTCTACTTTAAATATGATATATTATCAGTGGTGGAAGAAGTACTCAGATCAGTTACGCAAGTATAAGTAGAATAAACACAGTGTACAAATACTACTTTTACAAGTAAAAGCTATGCATTCAAAATGTTACTTGATGTTACAGAAGTATCTGCATCAACATATATTTAAAGTACTAAATAATAGTGTAGTGCATATTATAATAGTGTATATAACAACAATGTATATTATAATTATTGGATTGGAATATTGCTTTTAGATACTGCTGTGTAGTATGATCTATAATCTGAATCTGTAAAGAAACTAGTGACTAAATATATCCAATAAATGAATAAAAACACAAATATTGTGAAGTAGAAGATCAGGTAACATAAAATAGGAATTACTAAAGTAAAGTAATTAAAACGGAGTACATTGCTGTAAGTTTGTGTTACTTTCCACCGCTGCATACTATGAGTGCATACTATAACTTCCCTTGAGGATTGGGGTGTAATCGATAAAGCAGATATCTATAAAATGAATAGAATCACGTGTGCGTCTACAGAGTAACGCTATTGTAAAGACACACGGATCTGGTAAATACGCCACAGTCTGTAAAACATATGCAGGGACGTGTCGCCATCTAGTGGCGGCGGAAGCAAACGACAATTACACGTCAGACTTAAAGTAGACGCGCTACGTCATGACGCACGGAATCCAAATTTGCGCGGGTTCGCTGTTGTTATGAGGAGGCTGTCATCCAGCGGCTCACACACTGATAAATAAGAAGGTACCTGACGAAGCTATTGGTTTATATTTCATACTTTCATGATTTATAAGTCTTAATACTCTAAGTACCAACGGACAAAGTGAAATTATCTTCTGTAAGTTAACACTTTTTACGGTAACGACCAACGGGCTGCCATGTTTGTTTTGGTTTTGTTACAGTTATCGGAAACATGTCCAAGAGAGAAGCGTTTCTAGAGGCCGCCTGTAAGGAACATGTGGAGGACTTCCTCCGCTTCATCCAGCTTCATGTGAGTCTGTCTGTGTGTGTGTGTGTGTGTGTGTGTGTGTGTGTGTGTGTGTGTGTGT